ACGCAAGAACAAAATTCGCGTCGACATGAAAATGTAGCGTACCGTTCAACGACACGAACAAAAACAACAATGAACCAATAACAAAAACAAACTAGCACATCATGCGAGTAGAAACATGTCAGTCAGCTGTTATGAGGAAAAAATAATAAAGGTTTTTGGTCAATACATTATACGATTATACTAACCAATATTTGCATACGCTACAACATACTGTATAAAATTAACTGTTGTTGTAAAATTGAGTATTGTTTTTAACGATATACAGGGTGTTTCTTTACTCAACCCAAATTAAAAGGAGTCTACCATAAAACACTGTTTAAGCTCATATTTTTATATTATTGTATTCTTGATTTCATTGCCAATCAGCTGATTTGCATTGTTGCAAACTATCTATAAGATATAGTGTCATTGATTGAGAACTTCTTGTGAATAATTTTCAACTTGGCGCTTTTGCAAGGTCTATTTGAGCATGCAAAAAAAAAACATATTACGCCTTATTTACAATAAATTATCAATAACACTAAACCTCATAGATAACTAGAACGATGAATATTAGCCGAATCAATGACAATGAAGTAAAGGAAACAGGAATACCAACATATGAGCGGGTTTTGTGTTTAAAAAGTGTCTCATGGTAGTTGTAATATTATTTGGGTTGAGTTGGAAAAAACGTGTATAACATAAATGTAGGTAAATGAAATGACTAATCAGCAAAAATATCTTTTCATTGTGCAATTCGGGGAAAAATCTACAAATATTATTTTCACTAATATTCACTATTGTCAACATATAATATTTATATTATGAATATTATTGTGAGTATTGCAGTAATGTACCCTAGTAGATGATCTTTTAGTACTGAGGAGAGTAGGGATTGAAGATGGGTTCACGATGAGAATTCATTGTGGAATTAGTAAGGGATTTTGCCTGGAGTGTGGAATGTATCTTGGCAACATAGTTATTGATGGATTACTAAAATACTAATATTATTCCGCGATGAAAAGCAAGTTATGCTGATACCCTCAAGAACAATTAAGTAGGGGAGTTTGACTATGTAGCTGCACTTTTAAGGGACGTTATTCCCTTTCTACATATTTTTTTATCTAAGGGTGGTCTTGTGAAAGAGTGGTGTTGAGTTCACGTCTTCCCTACGAATTTGTAGATATGGGGACATCTACAACTAAAAGTTTTTATCAATTGAAGATTGGCGTTGACGAATTACGCAGCCACGAAGACATAAAAGAGAAAATGATTATATAAGAGAGATATTGAGAATCTCGATTAAAATATGTAAACAATAAATCAATCCTACCCCAGAGCAAACGGGGTCGGAAAATACCAGTGCTGCCAACCCGGAGGATGTAAATATCCCGTTATCAGAGTTGGCGACAGCGGCGGAGATGAAGATTTGATGATAGCAAGACAGGTGGGCCACAGGTGCGTCATCTGTCTACAGTTGGCACCACTGGGAGCGGTAATTGGCCTCAGGGCTGCCAACCTTGATTACTCACCATCTCCAGTGATGCAGTTCTAATAAGCTTACACGCAACATATACTGTCAGCAGTGGGATTAAAATAACAATTGACTCATTACTCTATGTCGTCGGGAACAGTTCTATAAGAGGATCGAGTTTGGGAATTGAAATAGGTTACCTACATCGTTGATTTTTCGTTGTAAAGGATCAAGGGTTTGACAGCTTAATCAAAATTAATTAGTTTTGTGATAGTTAATTCGTCGCATATGTGTGGTTTAGAAAATTAGTATCACCCAGGGCCGTCCGAAGGGATGGGGGGGGGGGGCAACCGGGACAAGTTGCCCAGGGCGCCATGGCTCAAGGGGCGCAGTGCTGCGGGAAATTGTGTTTGTGATCTTGTAGGTTCGCATGAATTGTAAAGGTTATCTGTGAAGATTATGGCGTTAAAATATACAAATCTGAAAAATGGGGCAAAATGTAAACGCAATTTAGTATGAAGCTATTGCGAATGCGGCTAGTACTGGGGGGAGGGGGCACCGCAACGACATTTTCCCCGGGCGCTGACAACCCTAGGGACGGCCCTGGTATCGCCTGGAACGAGTGATTGAGAGTGAGAGTGGAGTGAGACTTATGAACATTGTGAGAAATCAACCAGTGTTTTCCTGCACAGTGAAATTAACATTACCGATAATTTTTCTCAGAAACATAAAAGATCATCTCTAGCTTAAAGAATGAGCAAATTAATAGTAGCTTTACCTAAAAATACATTGTAGTTTGAACAGATGAATACCTATTTTTAAAATCTCAATACCTAAGTGAGATCCGTCAAAATTGACAGTTAATTATAAGGTATCACTGTAATTCAATAATAATAATGACGTTGACGTTTTAGTACCTATTCGGTTTATAATTCCTCGTAGAATAAAATAATTCCGGTCGTTATTTCAGCCAAAGTTCAAAAATGTTTTGCAGAATCTTAACTCGTATATCTTTCTCGTTTCCTATTAATCCTGATTTACATTGAATCAGTGCATTTACTATTTTAATCACAAACCAAGAAAGCTACATGAATATGTATCTGGACGAGTATATTATAATGTATCTTAACAAGTAAGTAGGCCTACATTCTAATGTACTGTGTCTGAACAAGTATTTCCTGATCCTAATGTATCTTAAAAAGTAAGTACATTCTAATGTGCTGTGTCTGAACAAATATTTCCCGATCCTAATGTATCTTAAAAAGTAAGTACATTCTAATGAGCTGTGTCTCAACAAGTATTTCCTGATCCTAATCTATCTGAAGGAGTATATTCTAAAAGCCTATGTGTTTCCGCAAGTAGGGTGAAAGCAGAAAGCACTAGCCCAGAGCAGCGCCGGGTGCCGCGGAGGTTCGTTTCCCGAGCTCAATACCGTCTTTGTCCTACAGATACAGACGCCGTTGTCCACCTAGTTAACCTACTGGCTACTTGTTATGAATGAACTCAATTTTTCCTGCCTTGTTAAGTCGGCTTTTAACTTGCCTGGATATTCTATGTTTATACAGTATTTATTTATAAGATATTTATTGGTCATTTATTGAATTATTTATTGCATGTTAATATTTATATGATTATTTATTTGCCTAGTATTAGTAAAACTTATTTACCAACCTTGGTTATTTTGCATGTAATTGAATTTTGTAAATGTATTTTTTGATGTACCCCTTGAGGGAAATCAATAAATGATGATGATGATGAAACTTGCCTGGACGATATTTCCTGTCTGGGAACATAAAATGTCGAAGAATTTCATTGAAATATTCCTTTAATAACCAGATTATTTTTCTATTTGGATAGTATTAATTTTAACAAGTACTTAGGTTTTATACTACAGGGAAGGTAATAAAGAATGTTTTAGCGAAATCCAAATGCAGGGTACAAACGTATCATGGGGTAAACATGAGGCTCTTCCATTTTTCACCCCCAAAACAGAAATGTTTCCATTTATTCTTAAACTAAAATGAAATTAGTTTAGATTCTGAAGTGATGTTGCACACCTAACAGTTAAAGAGAAATTGAATAAAACTAATTTAAAATTTCATGTATTCTGCTGCTATTCAATATTTCAATCAACACTTGATTACCTTCCCTGTAGCAGAAAACCTAAACCTACTCATCGAAATAAATATTATTAAATAGGAAAACTAATCTGACTATCTTATATTTGAAAATCTAACCAGGTAAATGGAAATTCGCATTTTCCGCAGGATTGCTGCGGTGGGGTTTTTAGTCCTATTTATTATTATCATACAGAATACAATATTCAAATTACAAGTTGAGAATTCGATCACCCATAGACTTGTTTGTTTTTAACCAACACAACGCAGAATCTACATTAAACAAAAACAGAGCTTTTCCCACCTTTTTAATTACCTTAGCCAACAACCCCCTAGGTGCCGCCGTCCATTCTTGCACCTCCCGGTTCTCTAAACATATTTACCAACTGTCGGACGGTTTTTGAATAAAATCCCTACTAAACAGAGGGTGCGCCACGGCCGCGTTATATTAGCAGTTTGGGCAACTTAACAAATATAATATCCCTGGTTAGCGGGTGGGCGGTAAAAGCGCAGGCGCCATCTCATTATTGTTCCAAACACGCGCTCTTTCGAAATGTGAAAAGTGCAGACGACGTGGCGATGATTCACGCAAACATTCGGTGTTCTGGGAATATTTAACGATCTTTGGTTATCTAGGGAATATATCTAGAAAGTCCTTCGTTTTATAGTCAATACGTTTTGTTAAAATTACTTTTGGGTACAATAACTCAGGATACGTTTGGGTCATAATAAATTTTAGCTAAGAATGTCCAGAGGAAAAATTGCATTTGTTAATAATCTCACTCTATTAATACTATACTCTATACGATCTATGTATATTTGTGTGATTGTAATCAATAATCAATAATCAATCGTTGAGATGGGGACGCCACCTAGGTGCGTATTTTAACCCAAATATGAGTGAAGGATGAGTGTAGAATGGTGTGTGATGACCTGTGTAGCTTTGTTACTGACTAAGATCAGCGGTTTCATTAGTCAGGATCATTTATTTAAAGCCCAATGATCAATTGTAAAATTAATCTCAAAATCTAGCAACAGTATTTTGCTTCAAGTTTGTAAAAACTTGATCTGTTAATGCCACTACCTCAGGAAAACTCGTATTACACTACACAACTCATTTGGAAATTTATAAACGTTTTAACGTTAGGGGTAAAATTTGTATTTTCTGTATTTTGGGTTTAAGCATATTTATAATTATACAAATATTTCAAGTAAATTGATTATATGAGGGGATTTCAATTTCAATAAAATAATTATGCCATAACCAAATGGAAAAGAAGAATCTCAATTCCTTTGGTAATAGTGCAAGATCTATCGTTGCATGTGTAAATAAATAATTTGTAATTGCATTTCAAGGTCGTAAAAGTTGTCACCAAACATACCGACTTTTTAATTATTTCTGTTACATATAATAGTATTTTTGTTTCCAGGACGTCCTCGGACAAACGCAAGAGTCATGTGAAACGTCCGATGAACGCGTTCATGGTGTGGGCGCAAGCTGCACGGCGCAAACTGGCCGACCACTACCCCCACCTGCACAATGCGCAACTGAGCAAGACACTGGGCCGCATGTGGAAGTGAGTATCCTCACGTTGTAGACTCGTTCTGTACGAGAGTAAAGATATGTAAATAGAAATATTAGTGTCATAAAATTAGCTAGTGTAATAGCCTCATTCATTTACAAGGCTGTCGTGTTGGTGTGTGGATTTTACCAGTTGATCGACAACTCACTTCGTCGCCAGGCCATTTGACCGCCTTTTTTAAAGTGACGGTCAAGTGGCCTGGCGACGAAGTGAAATTTTCGATCTACTGGTGCCCCCCGTTGCTGTGTGGCTCGCACCGCTCCTCTCAATGTCTAAAGAATAACTGAGACTGACATAAAAAATACTATGCTTCCGTTATTTTCTGTAAAAACCATTAAACACATTATGGTTAAGATTTTATTCATCACATACAAGATAATTAACGAAGTATTTTAATGCCCAACCAGATCAACTAATAACAATCACGGCATAGCATAACAAGTAATTAGTCTCCGCTCATTTCCCCAGGATTTGGAGAACTTAAAAAAGTATATTTAAAAATAGCAAACGACTCCACCCAACTACAACGAGCGGCAACGAGCCGCAGAAGCTAATGGTTGGATCAGCTGATCTAATAAATCAGCTGATACCATCTTTTGGCTCAGCTGGAAAAATGGGCCGTGGAGCAATTATTGTCTTCTAAAAAATACATCGAGCGTCAGGCCATTGTGGAGTGCTCGGAACTGGGTAATGATCAGTCTTCAATGCTGAATATTATTAGGCCTAGCAAGTAGTGAATAAGGAATTTTAATTGTAAAGTAGTTATGATTTAGTTTATGTCTTTCAGTTATTAATCCGTCTGACAAAATTGCCATATTCTCTATTACAATGGAAATTAAACCGAAATGACGTAAAACTCGTGATTTTCTATATTCTAAATAGTTTTACTTAGGATCACCATTTTCAAGATTGTCTTTGACTAGAAAGTATTTTAGTTGTAATATTTCATTGTATCGTATGTATCAGGAACGTGTATCTCAACAGTCAATACCCGTGGAAAATGTTAATTCTAACAAGAATTTGATATCATAGGTTAGGGCCTTTTTAATCTATGCTAATAAGCACATACTTAAGATCCATTCTAATCTATTCTACTAATCTGTTTTTTAATCTCAAGGGGTAGAACAGACGCTAACGATTATTGTTCTAATCAACTAAACGAAATTTTAAACTAAATTACTACCTATCTACTAACATAGGTGCAGCTTGCGCAGGACAACAATTAGGTGTAATTGTACTCGCCTGAGCAACTATCAAGAGAACTGTGGTTAAAATATACTAAAATATTTAGATACACTTATGTCTCATGTTTTATATTCACACCGAGTTTGCGTCCTAGCCTGGTCGGCCTCTCTATCGCGACTCTTGGCGCCATCTTTGAATCAAATTGCTAATAAAATGGCGGCAATCCAAAGATCAACACTTGACCCATGATCTCACCATCTCTGGCTGGCTAATGATATTGAATAACGATAAGAAACCCACGCCGAAATGTGAAAAACAAAATTTATGCAGATTGAATGGCATTGGGAAGATTAATGTAGCCAATAGAATGAAAGAGATGGATACACGCTAAAAGGCTGTTAATTAAAATGTAATCATTTTGAATAAAAGTTGAGTTTTGAATAATATGAAAACTTAAGGTAAGATTTTATCACCATGGATTTTTACATGGACGTGATTGGAAATTAAGGAAGAGTACTGTTCCACGTTGCGTGGCGTTTATAACGAAAAATACTCGTAAAACTTGATCATACATTTTATACCTGTAATTATATGAAAACCAGCCTAAAATATTACACCTTCAAGCATATCTTTTTACTTACGTACTTAATTGAGGTCAAACACCAATTAAATAATTATTGAAACATTTTTTGGAATTCAATTATTGATTTTATAAAGTACTACAGTAATAAAATAGGATAGTTTCACGCGAATAACTTAACTGATATACAGTGATGTAAAACTTTAACTTTAACTTTAACTTTAACTTTAAAACTTTAACTTAACACCTTTAACAAGAGAGAGGTATGCCTATATTAACATAAAACGTAAATATATTTAAATGCTTGTCAATATGGAAATTTTACAGAAGTAGTATGTATTTACTTAAAGAGAACCCCACGATAGACACGATTTAAAACCAGAGGAATGTATTTTATAGCAATTTATTTCACGAAATAATTATAACCACCTTTGGTTACGTTGTATGGGCTGGGTACAACAAACATAAAAGACTTAAGTTTGTTCGTTCTCATTTATCTGTAGTTTAACAAAAATAATTTTCACTACTCCCCCAAACCACAGAAAAAACTACTTCCAAACTTACTCATCCTGTTAACATTTCGAGTTTTTATGAAAATTTGCAAATCAAACCAAAGGCGAGACAGCGCAGCGCGTCTTCAAAGGGTTTCCCAGGAAATGGCGACTTCCGCTGATAAGAGCGTCGGCAGCGGTGAAACCAAACGTGGCAAAAGGTAAATGTGCCAATGTGCCTCCACGTTCTCATTATCAATGTGAAGTTAAAGTGTATAAAAATGTTTACGAAGACTTGAGTAAACTCTAAAAATTGCTGAAGCTGCGAAAGACACCCTTAGAGTAAAATGATTCACTCATATGCCAAAATATATCTGAACAGAACTGCATTGCTATATGTAACAATTAACCATAAATTTTAGGCTAGCAGTGAACTGATATTTATTATAACAAAGTTATTTTTAAATATGATTAAAAGATTTAAAAGACAGATTAAGAACATCTAATCAACACACGATGGTAACGCGTATTGAGTTGATAGGAACTTAAGTTACGATATTAGTTAGGTTATAATATTATCAAGCTATAAAATATTTATTTTTATAATGTAGTATCTTAAAATTTAAAGGTTCTACCTGAAACTGACAATCCTAGGTAACATATGTGACGTCACACCCCCTCCCCCTCTCACCAGTCTGTCCCTCTGTTTGTTTAGAGAAGCCCTAATTTTCAGTTTTGCCCTAAGAGATGTGGGAACCCTTCAAGATATTTAGCACCGTGGTGGGTGTGTGGGTGTCTAATTAACAGCTGGTATTAGAAACACATCAGCTGATATTTACTTTCCATCAGCTGTTAAGTGTTGCTGGTCAAAGATACTCGTGTTTAATCTAGTTCACTTTGAGTTTCCTATTTAATACAGTGTATTGATGATCCTCTCTACCGAAGTATGTATGTAGTTGAAATAAAAAGTATAATTTGTAATAAATGCTGTATACAACGAGCTAACGTGTTACAAATTAACATACCTCAAATACATTTTGGATTTTGATGAAAACCCGAAATTGCAGTTTAAATAAGAAACAATCAGCTTATCCTCAAGATATGGCCAACCCACCTTAGCCTTCTGCTTAATCTCCTTATGCAATACATATAAACTCTATATATTACCCTCGCAGAAATCTGCTAGAACTTAGTACATTTATAATTATGATTTAATTACAGCAAACTAGCCTTTAGAACTGTTCGGAACAATTTACAGTAACTATGCTTTGCTTGACAGGGGATAGAAGTGTTAAATATACTATGTAACAGACATAAGGTATTTATCACATGTCAATTCACTGGTACTACGAAATTCCGTAAAAATGTCAAAATAGTTTTGTGAAAAATACAAAATGGCGGCTGTTACGGATAATTTTTGAGTTTTGGAAATTTGTATGTATCTTAGTTTTGCTTTGGTGAGCCCTGAGGGAGAGTTTGGGGACATCATGTTTTTTTATTCAATTTACACTATACAGTACTAACTAAGCTTGTATGCTATATTAGGTACTGCTATAAATATGCCTTTTGACAATTCATGTTGATTCAACCATTTTATCACTATATCCACTATATAGTTATTTACAAAAAAAAGCTATTAGTTACAAGTGCTTCTAATCGTTGTTTTACTCAAACTCTCCAACAGTTTGCGTCACTATCACTCGTCTCCAAAGACCGCCGAAATGCCTCATCAAGCTCAGATTTTGGTGGCCTTTGTCCCTAATAAAAACAGCATGGACGATTGTCTAATCGGCTGTCAACGGCGTTTATGATAAAAGTCTTTGAAACCGAAGTAAAATATGGGACATTTGCTGGACAGTGGGGTCTACTAGTGAAACTTGACAATTGGAAATTGCCCAAATATTTATTCTCTGACTGATCAAGCTGTATTTTCCTGCAATGTGTGGGTTTGGCAGGAGGTAGGTACACCATTCCAATTTAATATTTCCAAATGCCCACTCGATTGCGTCATTTGATAACATTGCGCAAGTGGATCCCTCGTGTTTGGTTGCACAGTGTGAAGCAAGAGTCGCGTGCCGTCAAGGAAGTGATAAGGTGACAAACTGATAAACTGATAAGCACCTGGGCCGCAGCTGCCGACGCTCTTATCAGCGGAAGTCGCCATTTCCTGGGAAACCCTTTGAAGACGCGCTGTCTCGCTTGGTTTGATTCGCAAATTTCAATAAAAAGCGACAGAAAATGTTAAAAGGCTGAGTAAGTTTTGGGGAAGGCCTAATGAAAAGGTTGGTTAAAGTACATACAAATGATAACTGGCAAATGTATGTTTTTTTTGTTGTTGTACCATTCCCAAGTATATAATCACATCCTAAGAATGTTAATCGTTTGATGGAATAAAATGCTGTGCAATAAATCCCTCTAGTTTCTATTTTGTTTACCATGGGGTTGTGGGTAACTGAGTGATTATAGTGTTCGCCTGGTAATTGAAAGGTCGCCGGTTCGATCCTGAGAAATGTCAGTACCTTTTTGATGGTTCGAAACTGGGCCCAGCTGTTCCTGATCATTGGGCTTTAAATAAATGATCCTGACTTAGCTGATGAATGAAACAGCTGATCTTAGTCATTAACAAAGCTCACACCAAGATCATCTCACACCATTCTACACTTCACTCATATTTGGGTTAAAATACGCACCTAGGTGGCGTCCCCATCTCAATGATTGATAATTGATAATTGAAAAGT